CCTCCGGGGCAGGCGGGAATCGAACTCATGAGGAAGCGGCTTTAGATTCTCAGTGCTGTGCTTTAACCCGCTGCACCACCAGGGAGGGCCAATAATGGCTTTCTATTTATAGGAGTGTGTCCTGTCCATTCATAGAATAACTGGGTGTAAAAGGGAGTTAATGCACCTAGAAGCAACTCTTAACAAATAAGAGGTGTTTTATAAACAAAACACATAGCTTTCACAATATTCATAGTTAATTTTGAGGTGCCTAGCAGTGTGTCTCAGAGTTTACAGAACATGCTCTGGCTGTTCCTGTGGTTACTCACCCACTTATGTTTGATTTGCTTTAATTCCTTCCAAAATTCTGAGCTTTCATTCCTTCACCATGTTCTGAAATCTTAAAATTACACCCCAAATAAACTGCTCACACCCAAATATTTGTCTCAAGTTCTGTTTGTGACAGTTGGCACACAAGTGTTTCCTAAAAAGCAGATGCACAGGATGTGAGAATCTAGAATCAGATCAGTTGCCATGTCAGATGGCAACTAGGAGTCATAGCTGCAACCAGTGGTTGGGTGTGCTGTAGTATCATAACTAAGACTCTCACTGTGGTCTATTACAATAAGGTACAGATGGAGGTTATGCTTGTAAGAGAGCTTGAATTAGAAATATGGTAATTATGAAGGTAGGTAATTAATAGAGACGCCATGAAGAAAGAAAATGACAGGCTTAGGTCAACTAACTTGGGCATGATATGAGATGTCTGGACCATTTTAACAGAATCTCATCCGATAGGGTGTGCTGACAATAACACTCAAGATATATATATTTTTTATACTCAAGATATTTTTATAAATGTGAAGGATTATAAAAATTACTGATTTTAGAGTTCTGGTATGTTTCCTGTGTAAAAAATCAGAGGTGTTGTTAAGGAAGAAGAGTCACTTAAGAGTTTAGATGGGGGAAATTGAAAGGATGCATGTGATCCTACAACCACAATGGTTAACAGAGGGAAAAGGGGGGAAGAGGGACATATGTGACCTGAGTTAAGAGGATCAGCTGTATGTTGTTTTATGTTGTTTTATAGACTTTTGGTGGTAATCATAATATGCTACATACAGCTGTACAATTATAATGCTGCATACCTAAAACCTATAAGATGTTTTCAACCAATGTTGGTACAATAAAAAGTTTTATTGCCAAAAAAAAAAATTACCCTGGGTTAGCAGCACTCAAGTCTTACCTCTTGTTAATAGAGATAAGCCTCTTATTGCCTAAAGACCATGTTTCACCAAAGATTATGCTTACTATCTGACAATTTATTCTTACCTCTTCTTGCTGAACCCAGACCAATAACTAGGGTAAGTCCTCAGAATGGCCAGAGGGTAACAGTATAGTTCTTTTCTTGCTAAACCCAGACCAATAACTAGGGTAAGTCCTCAGAATGGCCAGAGGGTAACAGTATAGTTCTTTTCTTGCTAAACCCAGACCAATAACTAGGGTAAGTCCTCAGAATGGCCAGAGGGTAATAGTATAGTTCTCAGTATGGCAGAAACTGGATCATTAATCAAAAGAGTTGTAAGAGTTACTAATATACAATTAGGATCCAGTAGGGTGAATAGATAGTAGACAGAGAGCTGGATCCCAAATACACTGGATCAGGAGAAACATCATGTAAGATTTCACGAGAAAGATTTTTAATAAGAGGATATTCAAGATTTAACATTCTTGCAAAGATGCTTAGAGATGATTCTGACATGCTGGCAAAATTTTTGCATCTGGAGAGGTTTGGAAAGTTTGATGGACAATAATAATTGAAGTAGAAATGTCAGAATTACTATGGCAGAGAAGTGAGTTTGAAGGTTGGAATACCCAGTGAATAAGATATGTTCAAATGGGCTTATCACAAAACAACAACAGAGAAACCACCATTAACTCAGTCTCTCTTGAGGTCGTTGAGGTCACCAACTTCATTCAATCAGAAAGAAACGTACAAGTCAGAGAAAGGCAGGAATCATTGGAACTTCACTGATGGCTGTCTTTGTGGGCTGTGGTTGGTGGCAAGACATGGTGCAATACAACTGAGCTCCCTAGTGTCAATGAAGGTGGCATGGTTCCAGAACAGTATAAAAAAAGGTGGTAGCACTTAACTATCAGAAACAAAACGGGCAGGTGGATTAGAATGGCAAATACTAGGTGCTTGTACTTGAGGTCATATCTAAACAGTTTTGGTTCCTTTAGGGAAGAGAAAGGTAGGCAGACAATAAGGGCATTAATTGCTTTATAGAAACAAAAAAATATCAGAAACTAGTGATCAGTAGACTGAAGTTGTCATTTGCCATGACAACTCTAGCCCATTGTTCAGAATTGAGTCAGTCCAATCACTGACCTGTTGCCAATTGAAGGCAATACTAGGTAAGGAAAGTCCCTGCTACATCACCCCACTGTGCTCCCCCAAAGGAATTTGTTAACCAAATGAATATACATGTGTCAAACTTCACAATGGAGAGTGGAGGAATACATAGCTCTTTTGAGGATTATCAGGTCCAAGATCTAATCTGATACAAATAGCACACAGTTCAAAAAACTTCAGAAGGGGGCCAAGTAATACATAAATTCCTAATCCAAGATCACCTCGGAGTGGGGTCAGTGAGCCCATGAAATCACTCTTATAGTAGTTCTTGGACCAAGTAGAGTAAGAGTTAGGGTAGCAAAGACCAAATAAGACACACTGAAATTTCCTACAACATCCACTACTTACAGGCAAGATAACAAAGCAGGAGAACCAATATGTCATGAGTGAAATGCCAGGGATTAATGCCACCATTAAGGACTTTAGTTGCAGGGTGATAATCTATATTATACTCCTATTTTTTTTAAAAGATTTATTTATTTGTGCTTACAGAATTGGCGTACAGGCCAGAGACTCAGGAGTGGCGAGAGGCTTCACCAGAGACAGAGTGGGGAGCAGAACAGGCAGGTTGACGAAGTACACTGCTGAGGGGAGCATTGGGCGGGTCAGGAGAGGTCTGCCATGCCATGTGGTCACCTCTGGGGCAGGCGGGAATCGAACTCATGCGGAAGTGGTTTCAGCTTCTTAGTGCAGTGCTTTAACCCACTGCGCCACCAGGGAGGGCCTATATTCCTATTTTTAATTCAATAGTATGTCTGCTGCAAAGATCAAATGAGTTTTGGTAAATGAATTACCAAAAACTTACTCAAGTAGAAGCCTAGTCTTTGATATTGTGCTAGGTACCCTAACTTTACTAGAAGAGACCAACACAGTAACTGGCACATGGTATAGAGCTACTGGTTTGACAAATGCATTATTTGCAGACTATTAGGAAGAAAAATCAAAAGCATTAGCATTCTCTTATGATGGAAAGCACCCAACAGCATCCAAAATCTGGCTTCAAGCTGTGCTAATTTTTCTCTGTCACACAATATAGCTGAAAACTAATTTGATGTTGATACTCCTTAGAATATGACAGGGTCACTATTTTAGTGATTCATATTAATCAAATCCAGAGAGTAGCAAATGGCAAGTGTGAATGCCATGATACATGTATGTCAGAGCATGGGAGAAAAAAATGTCATAAATATTTAGAGGTCTGCCACACTGGAGACTTCCTTAGGAGTCCAACAGTCTGGGAATACAGTGCTAAGACATTCCCTGCAAGGTGAAGGATAAGTAAATGCAACTCACCCTCCTAACTACTGATGAAGATAGGTTAAGTCACTTCTGCCCCATCCTTCCTCCTCTTCCACCTCCTTTTCCTTTTCTTCTCGTCATTTTAATTTTTTCCATTAATTTTAAAATAAATTTGTGAAATCATATTTAAAACTTTCCGGGCCTTCTCCCTGGTGGCGCAGTGGGTTTAAAGCACACCACTGAGAAGCTAAAGTCACTTCAGCATGAGTTCGATCCCCGCCTGCGTAGGAGGTGACCACATGGCGTGGCAGACCTCTTCTGACCCGCCCGCTGCTCCCCTCAGCAGTGTACTTCGTTGATCTGCTTGTTCTGCTCCCCACTCTGTCTCTGGTGAAACCTCACACTGCCCCTATACCCTGTGGCCTGTACCCCGTTCTGTATGGATAAAAAATTAATCTTTAAAAAAATACTAAAATAAAATTTCTGGGCCTTTAAAATTTTCACTGAATTTTTTTCTGAAAATTTCAAGTATATACAAAATCAGAAGAGCAACATTATGAACTTATATACTTTCACTACCACATTCAACACATATCAAGATTTTGCTACATCTGCTTCACTTATCCAGATTCTTCTGTTCAAATATTTGGAGCACAAGTGTTAGATCTTGTACTATTATACTCTTCCCTAACACTTCAGTGTACATATCTAGAATAATTTCTAACATTTTTATGAAGAGCTAATTTATTAAGTAATATATCATTTAACATTAAATCTTTAAAAAAGAATAAGATAGAATGGTCTCACTCAGTTATACTAGCTAGGTAACAATATCTTTTTTTTTTTTTAAAGATTTACTTATTTGTGCATACAGAACTGGGGTATAGGCTAGAGGTGCAGGGACGGTGGGTGAGAGGAATCACCAGAAACAGAGGGGGGAGCAGGATAGGCAGATCATCGAAGTACACTGCTGAGGGGAGTAGTGGGCAGGTCAGGAGAGGTCTGCCACGCCATATGGATCACCTCCAAGGCAGACAGGGATAGAACTCATGCAGAAGTGGCTTTTAACTTCTTAGTGCTGTGCTTTAACCCCCTGCGCCACCAGGGAGGGCCTAGATAAGAATATCTTACAGAGTTGGGGCAAAGTTTTTCAGAAAATTGTATGTACCCTGAATTGGTGTCCAAATATGGTTCCATTTTTGTCACAGCCAGGATTCATGAGTCCAAGATTCAAGGGGTAGAAATGGGAGTTGTGACCATTCTTAACCCCGATGACTCACTAGCAGAATTTTCGCTTCCTGTTCCCCTGACATTTTTTGCTTCCTGTTTCCTATGATCTACTGACCTAGGGATCTTAGACTCAGAGGGCAGAGTATTTCCACCAAGAGAAAACAATGATTCCACTGAATCGTTAAGATTGCTAATGGGTTACTTTGGGCTCTCCATGCCTCTGAATCAATGGACAATGAAGGATGGGGTGAATATGTGATTACCAAGGGAAAAATTTACTATTCATGGCTTATTTGGAATGCAGTAAATTCCTTACAGTGTGTCTTACTATTACCTTGTCCTGTGATTAATATTAATGGACAACTACAACAACCCAATCCAGGTGTGACTACTAAGGGCCCATACCCTTTAGGAATGAAGGATTGGGTCATCCCACCAAATAAAGAATTATGATAATATCAAGACCTTGTTGAAGGCAAAGGGAATTTAGTAGTAAAGGAAGATAGTTATAGATACCAGCAACAACTATAGTTGTTAGTTTATAGTTATAAAAAGTGTCGTAGTGTCATGAATATTTCCCTACTTTATTATGAACACACATATTCATATTTCCTATTTGTTTTTTCCTTTTTTAAAAAGATTTATTTATGCATACAGAACTGGGGTACAAGCCAGAGGTGTAAGGACAGTAAGAGGCTTCACCAGAGACAGAATGGGGAGCAGAACAGGCAAACTGATGAAGGCCAGCTTGCAGTGCTCTGTCCTAACCCATTGCACCACCAGGGAGGGCCCTGTTTTTGACTCTCTTAGTCCTCTTTCTTTCCTTTTAATCTCCTATCATGTAAGACACTGAATTTATATCACAGTATTTAAGTATTGTTAATTTCACAGCATGGTATTTAAGTTGAAAATTATCAAAGAGGAAACATCACTGATGATCTTATTTTCCTTTCTGGAAAAGGGGTAAAAATGGGATATAGATATAGCCATTGCTTATTAGGAGAACCCTAATATAGGTTATCATTCTGGGTTGGATTGTATGCACCAGTAATACCTAAACATCGGTCTGTAAATCAAAGGCCAGAAACAGGAGTGTCATCATTATTCATCACAATGCCCTCTGACTCACTGGGATGTTTGTGCTTCTTGTCCCCTGTAACTCTGGACTTTGCAGAATTGAAGCTTTGGTCCCCAAGGGGACATGTTTTTACCAGAGGGAAAAATTAGCCTACTAGAATTATAAACTGAAGATATCACTTGAGCATTTTCGGTTCCTTGTGCCCCTGCACATGTCAAGAAGACATAATTTAATTCTAATCATTCTAGAAGAAAAGATGAGGATATAGGAAATATGTGTAGATTCCAGGTGACCTCCATATATTCTTGGTATTTGCCAAATGGATAGCCTTAAAAAGGGTAATGTTTTAAAAATAAGGACCTAGGTTTGACACAAGGTTTCCATGCAGAGCCAGAAAAATGCTATCTAAATGTAATTAGGATGGGCAGTGGAGAGAGAAAATATATTAGCCCCAATAACAAAGAGAATGTGTTTCATCCCAGTAATCTTCCTCTTCAAAGTTTTCCCTATAGGAAAAGTTGTTTAGCAGAATATTGGAGAAGCTGTTACCAAAATATATATGGAAAAGTAGATCAGTGCAAAGATTGGACTGTAGAATATCCCAAGTAGGCCACCCTAATCTTCCTTCAAAAAAGTCTTCCTAATCAGTTTCAGGGAATTACAACCAATAGTGAGTCCATGGATGATAAGTCTTTGAGGTAAGCTTCAGTTGCAGAGAAAGGCATCCCATATCCAGTGAAAGCTCAAGGTGAGGATAAGAAGACCGAGCCATTTGGGTCCAGTTCATGACAGACAACATTTATTATAGTTTGTTTAGCTACTGCAATGTAGAACTGTTTCTCATCTGCAAAGCTGACTTTTTTTAAAAAAAGGATTTATTTATGCATACAGAACTGGGGTACAAGCCAGAGGTGCAGGGGCAGTGATTCACCAAAGTGGGTAGCAGAACAGGCATGCATATAGATGAAGTACACTGCTGAGGGGAGCACAGGGCTGGGCGGGAGAGGCTGCCACACCATATGGATCACCTCTGGGGCTGTGCATCAAACTCACACTGAGGCGGCTGCAGCCAGCTTGCAGTGCTACATCATAACCCATTGCGCCACCAGGGAGGGCCCAAGAATGACATGCAAAAACTGACATTTTTTTCATAGTGGTTTGTCCCTATCAAAATCTTGTCCTCTAAACTCTAAGTCAATGCTTCTGGAGAATGCATAGAATCCCAACAAAGTAACTACTGATAATTCCCAAGAGCCTTGGGGGAAGGAACAAAGGGAAACGGTTGTGTTTATTAAAGTACTGATAAAAAGGTCTACACAGCAGAGACAAGACCTCTTATGAGAAATGGCCAACTATTGCTGGTGCTTTGAGAAATGTGAGAACAACCTTGGAACCCCAGAGCTGCAACTCAGATCTGAGGGTGCCAGTGGCCAACTGCTACTGCTGTGGTTGCTTCAAAGGAAGAATGAGGGTAGTTCTAATAAAGCCAACAACATGTCTACTAGAGTAAATGATCCCAGCTGAAAGCACACTGAGAATAACTTTTAGCACACAGGAAGGAAAGTAAGTGCTCGGCCCTTACCCATCACTTCAGGCTACTTCTACTGGCCCCATGTTGGCACAGTCCCTGGAAGTACACTGGTATAACAAAAATGGGATATGCAGTGCTATCTACCAGATATTACACCTTAGCGTACAAAGTAAGGGTGGTAATTTAGAAGTGATAGACAACAGCTTAAAAAGATGTTTTTCTGGGCCTTTGTGAAAGAAATAAAAAGGGACAACTTTTAGAGAAAAGGAAATTTTAATACTCCTTTAAGACAATGATGAGTAAGAAAGACATTGTAGGAATCCCTTATTTGTAATATTGATGTTAATGATTCTCACATGAGGGATCCTTAAATTTTCATTTGAAGACTTAAGATACCCTAATGCTTCCCTACTAATAAATGGAATATTGGATTTATTTTAAATGAAGGTTTAATCTTACTCTTCTTCCTTAATTTCTCTTTTCTCCTCTCACTTCTTCCAAAATCTCTTCCTGTTCCATCTCTCCTTCCTTCTTTCTTCTTCTGGGTTTCTTACAAACCACAATGAAGAAAAATGAAACAAAAATAATCAAAGGAATAAGCCACAGGACTGACAGGGGACCCAAAATCCCCTCCTTTCTGAACCTTGATTTATGGTACTTAGGAGGTGGCCCACTGTTGTAACTACCTCCATAGCCTCTGGTATTGCAGAAAGGAGGAGCCCATCCATGGTTGCAGTGGCAATTCTGCTTATTATTGCAGACCCCCTTCATATGGCAGGTCTTAGTTTGACAGTCTTGTGGTAACTGAATCTTTCTAGCACACCTGTGTTGGATGCATATCTCTTCTGGACCACATACTGTGCCGTCTTTCACTTGGCCAATATCAGGTATGGACATCCCTAAATGATAATCGGTGCCCCAGCAAGTGGTGTTATTGAAGTGAAATTGATGCACTGTAGAATGTTCCATCAGGTTAGGAATTACTCCCACATTTTCACACTGGATTCTCCCACAGAGAACATCAGGGTCCTCACATTTTTTATATGTTATGTCTTCGATACCACAGTGACCAAATCGATTTCCTTGGGTGTTGATTTCTTTGTAGCAACTCTGAGGTGCATTCCTTGCATCTTGGCCAAAAATGTCTCTGCATTGCTTGTCATGGCTACTACAACTCAACTGGTAGCAGTAGGCACTGTCACTACAGGGAATCCCATCTTGCACATATACATCTTCTGGGCACTGGTGGGATGTCCCAGTGCACCACTCTGGAAGGTCACATTCATTAACCTGTTGTCTGCACAAAGTCCCCGGTGGCATAAACTTACAGTCTTTACAACAAATGCCAAAAGCACAAGCAGCTCCAGGCTTCAGAGTGCAGTTCAACAGACAACAGGGATCTTTTACACACTGGTGCATGGTTCCACAGTCACACTCCTCTCCTTCATCAACCACTAGGTTCCCACAATACTGCAATTTGAAGGTATTCTCTAAAAGTGGAGGAGAGAGAATACATACTCCCCTACTCATTGTGTTATCCCAATACTGGGCATAGCTGCAGTTGCTGAATTTATCTGTCACCTTTCTGGAAGAATACATTATGCAAAACTCAAACCCACACACACACCACTCATCATCATGCAGCATACCCAAGTTATGACCAAGTTCATGGGACACGGTAAGTGCAAAAAGAGCCAGACTTTTGTCTTCAAAAACATCAACTCCAGAATTGAAAGGATACTGGCATATTGTTCCAACATAGGCAAGACCGAAGTTTATACCATATGACTTTTTTATGAAAAGATGGGAAGCTTCATGTGACAGTTGGTTACCAAAATTCAAATACTTCCACATGGCAAAATCCTCCAAAAGCTCATGTATATTATCAGTGGGAACTGGGTTTCCTTGATTCCAGATCTCAATACCAGCCAAACTCACATAAACTTCTAAAGGGTAATAGATGATATCAACTATGTTGACAACATCAGATACTTCCTGCTGTACTACTGACACATTACTGTTGCAGTAAAGGAATCGAAAATGGTCCACAAAGACTAACAGCTCAATAAATCGCCAGTGGGTCCTCCAGCCCACATAAGAACTTTGCATCAGAGTAGAATTATATGATGCTTGCAACTCCAATTGGCGTGCTATTTCCTCTTCTGTTAACCCACATCTCATAGGTGGGAAATGTGTTTCATCAGTGTCTATCATATACACCAGGTGTTCAAATGTGACAGAAAACCTAACTGGTTCAATTTCATAAGCAAGGTCATTTATCAGTAACATGCCTCGAAAGCCTCCAGAACAGGTACTAAGAGCAACGAGGGACTCAGGAACCCCCTCCACATAACCATGGTAGTAGCAGTCATCAGGAACGAAAGGCTGATCCTGGTGAAGGGCATGCTGATCTGTATAGGTGAACATTGGGAGATGTCTAGATATCAAGAATTTCTTGACCCTCATGTGGACAATGTGTCTTTGGCCCCCAAATCGTAGACTGTAGGAAAGCTGGCCCGAAGAAGCCTTTGCACCTTTTCCTCTTTGCACCTTCAAGGGAATCACCAGTTCTGAGGAGGAGAATTGGGAGGGACTGGCTTGAGAGTAACCAGAAATGGGCAGAGATACCTCAAGCCATAGCAGCAGAAGTGTGACCCTGATATGCACCATGGCCTCACCCGCTGCCATTATGGAGCTGTCATTATAGAGCCATTTGTCCCCGGCAAGGGAGGGCAGGGTATGAGGTAATGCTGGTCCAGCTCCTCTTTTTGAGCTGCTCAGAATGCAGGGCTGACTTTTATGGATCTGTGTCCTGGAAGAGTCTAACCATCAGAGATGCAGTGCTGAAAGTGAAAACAGAAGATGGGGTGGATGGGTGGGATAGGGAGGGTGAGAGAGAACATGAGGTAAAATGATTCTTCAGTTGGGATGAGACTTGAATCAATAAAATGTCTGAGATTTTCTCATATATGAGCACATGGCCAACCCACCCTAAACCAGTAATTGTTTGTCCATTTATTCAATCTGTTCCATTTCCCCTATTTTCGTGCAAACTGTCTAGACCCCATTCTGTCCAGTAGCGATCAAAGCAAGCCCCACTAAATTAGTCTTGAGACCTCCTCCAATTCATGAGATCTCTCAAAATATATGATAAGATTTTTTCAACTAATACATTCTTATCTGCAGAAAAAGTCTTGGGCAGTCAAAAGAAGGCAGTCATACTAAGGGGGAAACCAAGAAGTCTCTATTTTGGACTAAAGTCAACAACCCCATTGCCTCCAATCACAGCATAGAGGTGGTAGCAGCCTTCTCTCAACCCAGCTCAACTGCCTCAGATTCTGTCACTAGGCTCATCTTGCTTGTGTAAATACAGATTCTACCCACTTTTCATGTGGCTGGTGAGCAAGTTTCATTCTCTAGAGAAAGTTGGCTTGAGAAGTTTAAACCTACAGTTAATTCATTAAAATGTTAAAAGACCACAATTCGAGTGGACTTACATGAATCCTATTGAAAAGATACTTATCTGAAAGATATCAATAATAAGCTTAATATTTGAAAGCAAAAGCTAAAACAAATGTGGAGACACATTTGAAAACACTGGCAGACTGAATCTTCTCAGTAAGAACACAAAGGATGGGATCAATAGCATAGCCCATGAGAAATATCCTTATTATGATGCGAAGAATACCTATATCCATGTGGGGACTTTTCCAGAACCACTAGAGGGCTACTAGATCTCACAAGAGAAAAACCAGTCAATAAACACAATTTTTGGAAAGTATCACTGAAACAGTTGAAATTTCTAATTCTTAGGTTTCCTTTCCATGTCTCTCTTCATATTATCTTTAGTATTTGCTACTAACTTGGCATTATTAAGATGGAAATGCAAGAGTCAGAAGAGGATTATTAAAGATAAGCATTATAAACATGCAAATAACCTATAAACTTTTGTCAGAACTATTGTCAAAAAATGTGGTCATAACAGAAAATTTTATTGCCAAGATATTTGAGAAACCATCTTTATCAACCTTGCACCAGAGACAATGTTCCTGAAGAAATATCATATTATCATTAATTTTATTAACTAGTGTCACTCCAAAGCCCTTCCTAACACTAATGGTACTTCAAGCAGTGTAAGAATGAATCTTCTTCAGCATCAATCATTTGCTCTGCCTTCTATTTCTAACAGCTATCTCAAATTCCTCAAAGCCCTATCTTACCATGAGTCCACTCACTGTCAGTCATGCTCTAATTCAGTGTTTTTCAACTTAGGTCACAAACCACTCATGACCATGAAATCCATCTAATGGGCCATAGCAAAACTAAAGAACACAGTAAATACCAGAGAGCATTACATAGACTACTTGCTACTGACGTTAGCACAGAAGCATTCTGCTGGTAGTTCATAAGCTAATTAAGGATTTTCTTAGCTTCAAATGCATATAGTTAGATGATGGTCTGTCAAGCTCTAGCTACAGTGTATGTTCTCATTGCTACCTGGTTTCTTTCCCAAAAAGGCCACTAAGGAGAGAATAAAAGGCAACAGGAGGGACAATGGTGTTGTTACTGATTTGCCTGTTTAGTGGTGCCTACTGTGATGAGTTGGTCACCACATTCACAGAACCTACTCCAACCAGCCCTATCAAAGACATGAGGACTAGTTGGATAGTGCGCCCACCTCAGAAGTCTGAGTCCGATGCACAGAATCACTCTCCAGCACCTGAGCAACATATACTAGGCAGTGTCCCTTTCTCAGATGTTTCCCACCACACCAGAAAACACCTTGACACAAGACCCGTGAATGTAGTACCTCTCTCCAAGATCTGAGTCACAGTTTTGGAGGGCCTCTTCCAATTCCCTAAGGAACCAGGACGAGTTCAGCATCACCTTATAAGAAATACAACTACCAATTCCATTGGATTCCATTCTTGAGTTCCTAAATTACCAGCTACACTTGGGTCATGTCCTGTCTTCTACAGACCAGAACCAAATCTGTAATGCCTGAAGTGTCTAGGTTACAATAATCCCAAACTTTTCCCTTTGTTCCCAAATTGTTAGGGATGGAGTGCCATCTGGTAACTCATACCTCTGTATACCTCAGTATTCCCCTTTTATCTTTACAGTCCTCTAATACCTTTTCAAGATTCCCTACATTAATTTCTCTTGGTGGGTGTCTCTTTTCTGGGCTAGATCTTGACTGATAGAGGACTTGGTATCAAGTATGCTGCCAAGAGACACAGACAAAATGGGACTCTGGGATTGGTTTGGGTATGTGTGTGGCTTTAGCACAATGGTGAATTCCTGCCCAATGGGAAATGGGCATTTAGTAGCATCACAATTCATTGAATTACTACCTAGTACTGATTGTGATGAAGTGCTCTGCTGAAGCAAGTGGGGGTGGGGGATGGGAGACCAAGTGAGAAATACAATGGTGAATATAAACACCTCAGTGATTAAGGGGCAGGACAGTCATACTGAATTCTACAGGAGATTTTGCACAATGAAGCTCAAGGATCTAAATCCTTAGCCCAGAGAGCTGATAATGGTAGACCTAAAAGAAATCTCAATTGTTTTAGCCACAGGGACTATTTCACTGAAAATTAAATTTTAGTGTTTACATAAAGAATCACAATATATAATATCAAATACAGAGATTTGCCAAGACACTAGTGGGAAGATTAAAGACACTGATTAGAAAGGGAATACCCTGTCTACGGCCATACCACCCTGAACGCGCCCGATCTTGTCTGATCTCGGAAGCTAAGCAGGGTCGGGCCTGGTTAGTACTTGGATGGGAGAAAGGGAATACCCTTGTCCTGTGAAAAAAGGAATTCATTGATTCTGAGTATCTAGATCTTCCCTTTTATCCTTCAAATCTACTTTAATTAGAGAGAACCCAGACTTCTCCATCTAAGAATTCTAGACTGAGAAGTCTACTACAGTCTATTACAGGTCTCAGGATCTTGTGTAATCTCAAGCAGGGAAGTTATCCTCATAGGGATGCCTCACTTTAAGACATACTCCTACCACTGTTGGCTGTACACAGAAATTAAAATCTGACCCAATATACTGGAGGAACAAGCTCAACATCTGAAATGAGAAGAAAAGAACTTCGCTATTCCAAAGCAACTGCAGTATTTTAACTATTTATACTGGAAAACAAACTATATTAATAGCAAAAAAAATTTATAAAAGACAGATTTTAAAACTATATTTAATAACAAAATTCAATAGGAGTTTGTATTTACTAATAAAACACATGGAGCAAACAAAAGATTCAAGAGGAAAAATAGAAAAATCCCAACTCTACCTGTAGAAACACTTCTATCAACTGACAGATCAAACAAAAAAAAAATTAAAAACACATATAAACAAACAAAAAGATATAAACAAGCTTAATCAAATTAACCTAACTGACATATATAAAATACTACTGAATACTTACTAGGTTCAAATACACATGAAATAATTAGCAAAGTATATGACATCCATTGTCATAAAGGAAGTCTCAACAAATGATGAGTAAAAAATGTACAATGTATGCTCTTCATTAGTTGCAGAATTTTGAAAAACACTATGTAAAGGAAAAGGTGCTGGAAAATAGACATTTACTTAAAAATTAAAGTGCATCTTTCTAAATAAAATAAATTATAATTGGAAATATTGTGGTCTAAGTGAAGCTTATAGAATGTAGCTAAAGTTTTGGGGGTACATATTAGAAAAGGAGAGCAAAAATATTTTACTTATGATATACTATCCCAAAGCTAGAAAGATTAATAGCTTCATAAACTTTAAGCATAGAATAAAACTTAAAAACAAAGATGAAAGCAGAAAAACAAATATGAAAAAGGAAATCATCAAAACCAAAATTTAGTTCTTTAAACTGAGAAAACAAATAGCCAGCATCCATTTCTTAGACATTTAAAAAATATATATATAAAACAACTTGGTGTTGGTATATTTGAAAATTTAAGCAAGATGAGAAAATTCCTAGAAAAGCAAGTGAACAAAAATAGAACATTAGTTTCACATTGGAAATTACTGGTATTTTTGTCATGATAAAAGACTGAGGATACAAGGAAAACAATACTAATCACATGTACCTCTAACTCACCACTTTACATGTGCAAGGTGTGAGGAAGATATATTGATTTTCTAAATTATGCAGGATTGATTGTAATTACACCCTATTTCAGTTGTGATTTTTTACTAAACAAATCTACTATTTAACTAGATATGAGGGATTGGAAACAAAATATAAATGATGTGAACACTAAGATATAAGAAATAAACAATGCAAATGTTCACAAAAAATAAATCTGATGAAACCATGTTAAAAGGGCAATAGGTGAGCGTCTTCCTGGTAGCCTAAGAGTTAAGCCTCAGCACTCTTACCTATATGCCTAAGTTGGATCCCAGTCAGAGATCCCAGCAGTGTATTCCAGTAAATTAACCTTTTCAATTCCCCATTCCATCTCTGGTGAATCCTCACAGTCCCCACACCTTTGGCTTACACCCCAGTTCTTCTACACAAAAAATAAATAAAAGATAACAGGTGAAATACTGGCAGAGATAATGAAGTATTAAAAAAGGTACAGTGAAATATATTTAACATGATAAAAAGGAACATTCCACAGTATTTTGTATACCGCTATTGACATAGCTACAAAATATGTGACACCAGGAGTTGAAATCAAAAAGAAAACTAAAAATCCAATATAGGCCCTCCCTGGTGGCACAGCAGGTTAAAGCACAGCACTAAGAATCTAAAGCCACTTCTGCATGAATTCGATCCCTGTCCTGGAAGGTGACCACATGGCACGGCAGACC